TAACTGGCTGCTGCCCTCAGCTTCAGACAGATATGACAGTGGTATCAAATTTCTCATGTAATTCTAAGCAAGAAAGTGAATAAGTGTATTTCCCCAAAATGTTCAACTAACTGACTGTAAATTTCTCAATTTATTTCTCTGGTAGAGTGTGCTGTAAACCATAATTTGGACTCTACTAGTAGCAGTGTCACTTATTATCTCTTGATTGACTTCACGTCTTTTCATGCAACTTTGCCACAAGTCTCTTTTTCAGATCAAACGCCATATTTTATAGGCCGAAACCTTCAAAGCATGTCATATCCTGTCGAGATGATGAAATGATTATGAAGCACCATGAAAGTGACATTTGGCAGATGGACTGTATTCATCTTTATCACTGCAGAGTTCCTGTACTACTTTCCTTTGATAAAACATGAAACATATCCTTTGCTCAGATTTTCAGTCTGTGACAAGTGTTTTAGCTTCAGTGCTCATACACAAGTGAGGTTATTGTGAATCTTGAGTCTATTAAACAAAAAGTTAATGTCATGTTGTGAACTGATTTTCATGTTGTCACATGAAGTTGCCAGGCAACGAAACATTCTGTTTGTTGACTAAAATCTGTTGCATGATAAAATGGACTTAACTTGGGTTGCCATACTGAAGATTGTAGTAGATTGCATTAGTAGCGTAAAGGGCATGTCAGTTCATTTTATATAAAACCGCCACAAAGGTGAAGAAGGCAGCGATTTCTTCTATCCATTTCTTTTATATGTACTTCCCAAACCCCCTCCATCTTCCCTGGATCTCGCTCTCCCCCTTTCGTCTTTCGTCTCTGGGAGTATGGGTGCATGTCAAGTGATTGTTGAATTGAAATATTGATGTGGAGTATCAAAGCGTGGCGTAGCACTCCTGTGTTTCCAGAACTAACCACGAAGCGCTTTGATCAGATACTCCTGTGATCTGACTTCTGAAGTTGTTAAGAGTGCTGGAAAACAAAATGCAAACAAACTTCAAGTGCTCTTGGTATTGATAAAAGTTTTCTTTGACAAGTGGAGATGCGTGCTGTCTGCCTGTGTCTGCCCAAGACTGGAGATTTTGGGGTTTTTGTACATGCTAATGGACAAGAGATGAGGGAATTATGATAGTTTTCCACTTCTCACACACCTAGCAATGTAAACTGTAGTACAGGGGTGGGAATCATCACAGAATCCTGCTGTGATATCATGGAGTAATGCAAAACTACTGCAATTGTGTGATTTATGCTGTAATTTTGTTAGAGTCTGATTATGCCTAATATGATTTATAATTTTTATTTAATTTGCAAACTAAGAGGCTAAATCAAAACCTTAAATTAAATCCTTTTAAGCAATTACTATGCTTATAACCAAAAAATAAGTAATTCATAATTACTTAACTGATCTTTAAAGCATTTTGGAGATTGAAGTACTCTTCCAAAAAAAAAACTATACATATTAAATGATCGAAAGATTTAATTGAGGTATCCCCCCAGAATTCATTCATCATTGCAATATCAGTGTGTTTAGAAGCAGAAGAAGAAAATCAGTTGTTTTCATCAGTTTTTCCATCATCTTCTTACAAACAAATTTACATTTTGCTGAATAAATATGAACTGTAGAACGATACCTAGGAGCAGAGGTCAATTTGAGGCTGGGTGAGAGACGGGTTTTTAAGAAGAAGACAGGAAACAAGGTGGGTGCAAGTGTGCAGTCATGTGGGACGACATATCTGCACAGATGAGGAGGCACAACTGACAAAATAACATGTCGTGACTAAAGTGAAAAGTTTCAACATTGTGTCGTGATCGATGTGCAAATTCTCTAAAGTGCTGCTGAGGAAGGCGCATTAGGCTGCAGAGGTAAACCTTCTCAATCAATGTGCCTGATTGTAAACATCAATCTCTTTTCAATATTTCTCTGTGCACCTCCCTTGCAAACACTCACACACTGACACACACATTTCTAACTCAATAGGAAACAGGAAAGAGACTCCTGAATGAGGTATCAAATTGTTGCACTGTAAAGTCCAGCTGTTGGTGTTGCTCCTCATCCCAATGAAACTGAGTGTCATGGTAATTAGGCCCCATCTTGTCCTTGGATTGCTGAATGGTTAAAGAGTGAAGCACTACAGTTAGCAGCAGGCTTTTAACATGCTGTCTGTCTCATCCATTAGGCCACATTTGTCACATGAGGGCCATTGAGTCAGAACAGTGCTGTAAAATTGGCTTTTTGACATGGCCACCAGTACAAAGGCTGCTCTCCTCCATGGCTGCCCTTTTCGAGTGCAGATGGTCAAGACAGCTGGGACAATTTAGTGATCTGAGGCTTTTAAACTGCCCCCCAGGCATGATAAAAACAGCTTGAGTAGCCACTTGCATATTCTACGTTCTAAGTTTAAGATTATGTCTGCAACACAAACAACACCATTTGTTTTTTACAGTGAGCAAAAGGACTAAAAACTCTTCCAGGATCGTGAGATTTCAGAACGTTTAACTATCACAAAAAGCCCTGTTGAGTTTTAATGTCTATTTTTCTTGGATGTATTTCCTTTGTTTTTCCTTTTAGAAATAGGTGCATTAGAGTGTCTGCATCGCCTTGTTGGGATTTAGTCTGTGTCAGTTTTGAAGTCGAATTTGCTGGTAGCCACCCAGTCAGAGCAGCCTGCAATGTATGACGGAGCGGGCCTGATTACCGGCAATCTCACCAGCTGTTTAATGAACACAGGGACCTCTTTCTCTGGAAATGAGTTTTCCCTTGAAAACTGTGGAAGCCGTATCCAGGTCTATTTAAATGAGGTAACATGGGGAAGGTAAGCACCACCACATGAGCATTGTTTTCACAGTTCAAAGTGAGGAGAGAGTACTTTGCACTTCAAAGCCACTCATCTGGGAGGCAGTACAGTGGGGGTGGGGTGGCGTGGGGGAGAGGGGACAGGAAATAAGAATCAGGGTAATTAACAACTTCTGCTCCGTAATAAACCAGAGACATAGTATACCTCTGCCTCCAAGATACACTCCTATTTCTGTGTCCTCCTCTCTCTTTTCCTTTACTACTGTTTTCTTTCATCCTAAATGTTCACTTTAATTTGGAATTAGACCATTTTCATCAATGCTGTTGGAGTTACATCATATTTATTAATATTTGCATGTTGGATTTGTAACTTACACAATCTTTGCATTTTATGTATTTAAATGAATTGCAGTACCAACATGCAGATGTTTACCCTTTCTGAAATGATTTTGTTAAATTTGTATTTCAAGCCAGCAGCATTCAACATTTGGACAATTCTAATTAATTAAAATGCATCTTTCTTAGCTTTGTTGCTTTTGCTTTTTCTGAAAATTAATCTGGTAACATCTTGTAAATATTTTTTAGCAAGAAGTTTTTTTCCCCGTCTCAAAAAAAAGACAATCTGTGTGATTTATTAGCAGACTGCAGCTGATGTCTGCATGTCATTGTGAGTCTGGAGAAATCTTTTGTTTCAAGCTGAGGTGTCTGTCTGTCATACTGCGCTCTGTCTGCTCTGCTTTCTCACCAAATAACTTCAAAAAGGCCTTAACCAAATGGTACAGTCTGGTGATATCTTTCATTTAACTGCTTATCATTTATTTTTAAAAACTGTCAATTCTAACATTTACAGCCCAGGTGGAATACAAGAAACTTTACATTCATGTTCAAATTAATTTAGAAAGTTTATACATTTCTAATTTTAACTGCCTCCACCTTGGGCTATGTTTATTTAAGGATCACAGTCTGTGAAACAGGGAGAAGTAGATAAGTGAGGAACCACGAATTTACATGAGAAACGGGTTCCCAGCCTGGATTTAAACTCTTAACATTGTAATGGTGAACAGACTTACAGAATGAGATTAAGCCTCAATCTGCATTTAATGGAGCAGATCTGAAGCGGCCTCTACTTGAACTCTGAAATGTGAGAATGTCACACAGGGTAGCCTATTTGACATGTCACCCACTGGTGAGAACTCTGAGGCTTTGATTGAGTTTTATCAATTAGCTTTGTGAAGGAAAAATACTGTGACTGTCTTCATAGTGTGAGAGCCTCACGCCAGCCAGGCTGAGGAGTTGCACTGCTGCAGCGTTAAGGAATAAAAAGTTTGCTTTGTGTCATCAGAATCAGAAATCAGAATCAGAACTACTTTAATAATCCCTGGGGGAAATTATTTTTGTTTCATCTGGAGAAAACTGATAATTAAACAGTGAATTAAATTCCACAACAACCGTCCATGTTTTAATTCACCTCTGAGTTTTATGGTCATCAGCTACACATTTTCAAGAGTGTATGTTATATATAATTTAAGCAGCTTCACATTTTAAAATTAACTAAACCAGAAGTGCATGTGTGCTTATTGTTACCAGAAAACCACCTTTTTGGTCTGACATAAACCTAAGTTAAGCAAGAGGTATGTGTGACGATGGCAAGGAAAATTTTACTTTTATGCTTTCCCGTAAGTGTGAATCAATTATTCTTTAAAATTATATATTTTTGTTTATATTTGTTGACTAGAGATGATAGTTTGCCCACCTTTTCATTTAACACAGCATCACTGATTACTGCCAAAAATAAATATCCATGTATTTGCTATCTTTACTTCCCACTGTGGAGTTGAAGCAGTATGCAAATATTCCCAGAGTGAAAAATATTTTGACAAAGCTGGCTATATTAATCTTAGATCTTTTAACAGACTAAGCATTTTGTTCTTGTGCAAAGATGTGGTCCTAAATGTATAAATCGAAAGTTGCTGAAACACTAAATGTTAACACTTATTTGGGTTTATTTGAAATTGAAAGAAGTAACACATGATGTCCAGAGAAGTTCAAATAGATACATTACTCTGAAACACTTCTTATCATGCCTCAAATCTTTATTTCTTTTTCCCCAGAACAATTGGAGGAGGAGTCAGTTCTTGGGGTCAGCATTTGGTTGAAATTGAGTGAAATTATGAGTAGCCCACCCCTTCACCTAACAATCCCCCCCTCCTCCCTCCCTCACATCTCCTCTCTATTGACTGGCTCTCCTGCATCATACTGGAGACCCCGTTGAGAGGATCTTTTCTCTCTATAAAGAGAAGATGCAGCTCAGGCGCCTTTGAGATCGCAAGGATTTACTGTGCGCCTCTCTGCATCTAACTTCAGACGGGCATCCTCGGCTGCTTCAACACCAAATCATCTGGACTGCAAGCGTACAAAAAATATTTACCTAGTGGACTGAGGGACATTTGAATGACGCGGGATTTCCCAGTCTAGTCTGCCAGAGTGTCTGAGTCATCCCAGACCCGAATGTGAGCATCTTTTTTCTTTTGCGCTCCGAGCTGTAGTTTAGACTTCGTGCGTCGTCGCCTCTCGGCGCAGTTTGTGTTGCAGGTGCGTGGAGAAGGAGCGAGGACAGATGGCTGCGCTGGCGATACAAAGGACTGACAACTTTTTGCACACCTTTTTACAGGTTTGTTGTATAATCATCTTTTGACACAGTGCACGCGGATTTATTACCTGCTTTTGAGGTGGTGAAAGCCGCAACTTGTGCGTAAAGAATGAACATGCTTCATGGGCTTGATCCGTATAAAAAAATAATTAAACTTCATATAGTAGTAAAATAATTAGAAAATAATTTGATAACAAAAAAAAGCCATGTAAGACTAAAATATTTAATGTTTAAAAATAGCAAATTCATTCCAACTTCGGATTACATATAGTGTCAATTTCTGAACGTTTTAATTATCATGTAATGTAAAAGAAAATGTTATATTAATATAATAATAATAACTTTATTGAAATAACACCCTTAATAAACTGAGTTTTTCATAAAGTGCTTTTGACAAGACAAAGCAAGAACAGGATACTCAAAAGGAAATATAACAACAGAGAGCCAGGCACTGAGGCCAAATAGAGGCAAGACAGAAAATATTAAATATATAGTGAAGGGAAGACAATTTAAGGAAGATTTAAAACTTTATTTGTCTTCAAAGTGGCCCATGTAATCTGACATGTGTTTGTGTATCACCACACAGGACCGGACGCCTAGCTCCTCTCCAGAGGGAGCCCCTAACGCCCTCTCCTTCCTGGCCACCACCTGTAGCCAAGCCTGGCAGGTGGGAGGCACTATGGGCTCAGAAGGATCCCAGTTCCCCTACGAGGGCACCGTCAGCTCCACGTCAGGAATGTTTCAGCTCTGGAGCAACGACATAGCGCCCAGCACAGCTCTCAGCACACACCAGATGACCTTCACGGTGCCCAAGGTGCAGTTCCCAGGACACATGCAGTCTAGCCTGGGTCACCATCACCATCACCCCCATCATCACCACCACCATGAGCTGCCTCTCACCCCACCGGCTGAACCTCCCTCTTCGTACTCATTCGAACTCTCCCCTGTTAAAGTGCTGTCCTCGCAGCCACAGGCCAACGGCCCCTATTATCCTCAGCACAACAGTGTGGGACAAAACTTCCCCAGCTTCCTCCAGAACTCCTCAGCCAGGCATCACCTGCCTGGAGGCCATGTAGAGGATGGGCAGCAATGGTGGAGCCTACCCCAAACCAACGCCACCCCTTCCAACCATCCCTTCTCCCTCGGCAGACAGCTGGTTTTGGGCCACCAGCCCCAAATAGCTGCTCTTCTCCAGGGTACCTCCAAGGGCCTGCTGAGTTCTACACGCCGTTGCCGTCGCTGCAAATGCCCCAACTGCCAGGCGAATGGTGGGGGGTTAGAGTTCGGAAAGAAGAGACTACACATCTGCCACATCCCGGAGTGTGGCAAAGTGTACAAGAAGACCTCTCACCTGAAGGCACATCTGCGCTGGCATGCCGGGGAGAGGCCGTTCATCTGTAACTGGCTCTTCTGTGGTAAAAGCTTCACCCGTTCAGATGAGTTACAGCGGCACCTCCGCACGCACACTGGAGAGAAGCGCTTTGGGTGCCAGCAGTGCGGCAAGAGGTTCATGAGGAGTGACCACCTCTCCAAACACGTCAAGACCCACCAGACCAGGAAGAGCCGGTCTGGGCAGCCTTCACAGAGCACGGACCCTCTGCTCACCAATATCAAGAGAGAGTAATCTCTGTGGTCCATCATTCAAAAGAAATAATCAATCAATGAACAGACTGTGTGACTTACACTTACTGCCATAGGTTTGCACTAGAGGGTAAGCATCAAGCTCCCCGAACATCTTCTGTTGTCAAAGCCCTACTTTTGACTTCAAGTAGTACCATAAGAATATATTTAGAGACCATTTTTAATTGGAGTAATTGTGTGCGATTTGAGACAAGGCACCTTTAAAGAATACTTGAAGCCTTTTGCAGTGATATTGTGAGAGTTTTGCTGAATTCAGTGTACTTTTCAAGTTGCCACACAAACAGATTTCAACTGATTTCTTTAACAATTTAAGATTTCTTTAAATTTCAACTGATGTGAAAATCTTTTCAGAAATAATTCTGTAAATATTTTATCCATGTGAAGAATGTTGCAGACATGAGCAAAATTACACAAGGTTTACCTTAATACGTTGTCCATATTATCATGTTCAAGATAAACGTATGCCTTAGTGCAGCGAAAATTATCATTTCTGCTCTCGAAAACCAGTTCAGAATGGGAAAATGTTTCTGTTGTCGCTGATAATTAGATTTTTATTCCAAAACTTATCCTAATTTCTCTTCTTCAAGGTAGGGATCTTTTTTTAAATGTGAGTCTTTGATCTACAATTTTATCTCGTCTGCTCTTAAGTAGCAGCGTGAAGCACCATTGCTCCAGATTAGCAAGCATTTTAAAGTTCTTTGTAAATTATGTATAAATATCATGTACAATTTTATCGGGGGTTATGGCCGCATGTACATTTTAATAAACATTGTCCTTGCTGAAACAATTTCACAGTTTCTAATAATGTTATTTTCTTGCATTTTGATGACTGATTGTGAAGTAAATATCTATGACTTACAGTGAGAGTCATTGGTTTTAACTTTCTTAGCTCATTCAAAAAATGTGTGAAACTCTGATGCCCCAGAGCTCCTAAAGATCTAACATTTTATTTAAATGATAATTCAATTGCATTCAGATTACAAAAGCTCCTCATTGTGCTGCTGGTGTGAAGGAAGAAGCTCCTAAAGAAGACCTAACATGGTGGGCTGTTCAAAGATTTTCACACCTCAAAGTAAATACTCAATCCATTGATGGGGCTGTTTGTCTCGCCTGTTGCAATCAAGTTCACAGTCATGTGGCTTTTAATGAGTGTTTTCTTTCTCTCAATGGAGAAGATTGAGTCAACAGATGCAACAGAGGGCATTGGAGAGGAATTCCCTGTGAATGGGACCCCTGTTGTTGAGACCCCCTCAGTGGTGACAGGAACTCCCTTTGATTTTGCACCCTTGTGAAAGTTAATACCCCTTTCCCCCCCTCTGTCCCCAGCCTCCATATATCACAGCCGTGTTACGATCGGCCCTGCTTTACTGCTCAGAATGGGGCTTTATTCAGAGGCCAGCCAACCAGATGTCTGCTCATCCAGGGGTTTCTTTTCTTTGTTTTTAATCCTGTTTGAACTTTTTCCAAGGGGGATGCCGAAGCAAGCAAAATGCTTTGCCTTTGTCTTTATCAGGGGATCCCAAAAGTGGAGTCCAAGGACCTCCAAGGGGTCTATAGCGAAAAAAAATACTTTAGTTGCACCATTAGTTAAATAATTAAGGAATGAGCATACTGTCAGAATGCATATGGATGTTAGTATGAATCATCAGAAGTGTACACAGCGCTTACAGTATATAAAATGTCACAGAAAAAAAAGAGATAAGTGTCTGTATATTAAAAGTATACAGGTTTTTTAATCAAGGCAATCAAGAAAGATTGTGCAGAGAAACTCAAATACTGCAGTCAGTTTCAAAAAAGACACTTTTTTATTTGATATGATACGACAGTTTCTACTCAGTCAAACATGGCATTAACCAACCCTCTCTTGGTTTTACTTCCTTGCTTTTGGTTCTCTGTAGTGGTATTTACTTTGTGTTAATGCCTGATCGGTAATTCCCATGAAAACACGCGAGTTCACAGTAACTGCAGATGGATTCTGTGAGATGGTTCCCCTCACCGAATGTCGCACCTCTCATTTTACTTTGTGTGATTTATTGTTGATTCCTGGACAGATTATTCAGCAGCTTTTGCTTTATTGTGAGAGCACTGAAATATGAGGCCTATTGATCTTTGGTGCAGCTGTATGATACAACTTAAATTAAAGTGAAAGCCTTTTGGGACCCTCTACTGGCCACAAAGAAGAACTGACCCGATATTGACAGGATAGCCCCCCTCATCTACTCAGCTCTTATCTTTTTGTCACTTAGGTGTCACAATCCCGATTGTAACACAGATATCTACAGTTGTTTAGGAAGAGTAGTGGCAAACTGAACTATAGTATAAAGCATTTGAGCTGTGAGCTGCTATTTTTGGCACTGTTGTCTGAGGAAGAGGGAGCATGCAGATTCATCAGCATCACTTAGTTTGTCCAGCAACATATTATCCTTCATTTTAACCAACTGGAGTGGTAACATTTCTTGGCATACCTGGGTCATTCTTCATCTTACAAGTGGAAATGTATGGTTGCCTTCATGGTATGCACTATACAGTATTTAGTCCACAAGGGCAAAAGCTAACAGAGATTATAGAAATGGTGCACAGCCTTGACATGACAACAGTGGACTAATAAAACAATTCATATTAGTTTAAACCAATGCACTTTTAAGGACCCGTGTCCCCAAAACCACAAGCACCCCTCTTCGACCTGGAAAGAAAAATCTGTGTAAAGTAGCATTGTGACAGTCATGGACATGTTTCATGCAACAATTTGGGTCAGCACAGCAGTCTCTTTGAATGCACCTACTGTATTTAACAACTCCTCTGGAGTTGCCCAAAGAGCAAAATGTATTCTAAAGTGACGTCATACCCAAAGAGAACCTCCAGGGGGCTCCATCACACCTTTTTTGTCCAGATCAAAGGAGGGCGAGTCAAACAGAATAAGAGAGCACACAGGAGCTCTCAACACTGTGGCAAGAAAGAAAGTTCTTCTCTTTCAGTTGAAATTCGAGTGAGTTAAGTCCTTGTGGCATGTTCACATCAAGTGTTCTGCTTTTCCCATTTTTATCGACATAAACAGCAAACTCAGTTGTCAGCAGGGGAATGACAAAATGTATCAATGTAGCTGTACGTCTTCACAATGGGGCATCAGAATTACCACTGACCACCTGCACACTCAAACACATCCACACATTGTTGCATAAACATACATCCAGGCACACACATAACTCCAGTGACCGCCCCAATTAGGAATGAATATTTCTTCATCAATCAAATTCCCCTTGCCCTTTGAAAGAGAGAAGAGTATGGTATACAAACTCTCAAAAAGGTAAAAAGCAGATATTGTCATAACACTGAATGTCCGTTGAGTGTTTTTACTCGGAGCCCAGTAACATCCCACTGGATACTGTTCATGTGCACTCAAGGTAGCCAAGGCTAGTCACCTCCCATTGAATGGCTCTCTAAAAATAGGAGCAACATCATTTTATAGTTGCAGCCCATAATTCCTTCATACGTTCCTTCAGGTTCCTTCATTATCTTCCAGAAATCATGACTGAACCTGCTAAGGGTCCAGCCTGGCATAAACAGACAGTAGACAAGTCTTCTTGTCCCCACAGCTGTGGCGTTAGCTGCTGTCCTCCTAACCCAGGAGACAGATAGTGTCAGAGTTCATAGGTCGTCCTCGGCTAGCTGAGCCAGGTTGCTGGGGCGTCGTCCGGCTGACGGGCCCGACAATGGAGCCTGGCACCCAGCATCAGTAGCTTGACCCCTTCGGCAGCCCTCTCCTGCTCTCTGCTGGGGAGAGAGGGTACATTCATCAGCTGTAAAGTACTTCCATGTACTGCACTCAAATAAAAGTTTGTTTTCAATTGTATACTGACAAGAATATTATAGATAACTTGCCAAATATTGAATGGGAATTTTGTTATCAGGATTTTTTCATTGACAGCCTCAGTCTAAAAATGCATTAATTAACTATTAACCCCAGCATAATATGGGAAAATATTATCTGCCTTTGATAGGCATCTCTCTCTGATTTCCTCATCAGCCTGCTTCCTGTTTGTTTTGTGCCAAGCTTATCCAACCTGAGTAAACACAGAGAGAGGTGGAGAACAACAACTGCTGGCCTGTCCACACTGTCTCACTCTGGACAACAGCCCACTGATGACAGAGGGAGACTAGGCTAATGATAATGTAAAGCCCAACAACAGGATGCTCCTATTGTTCAATGGCCAGATGGACAATACAGCCTGAAATTTTGGGAAATTATATATTTTGTGTAAATGTGTGGAATTTCCCTTGTTTGTATTCAACTAAGTGTAGCTAACATTGTAATCCATTTCCATCATAAATATTCCGATTTGTATTGATTCCCTTTTCATCCAATAGGGGGAGAAATAGCCCTTCTTATGACTTGATCCCTTCACTGTATGTGTCTAAATAAATGGTTACAATTTACTAGACTCTTTCATCTTTTAATTAACATTAATGAGCACAATGAAATGATTGTTACAAGTCGAACAATGGCCCATTATTTCCCCAGTGGTTAGCTTCCTGTGGCTTGTTTTGTCATTAATTTTCCAATGCTGGTGTTAGACTGGATTGTCTAATGACTGCTAGACAATCCAGTAGCACAATGGGCAAAATAATGACCCATATAGACAGCTTTGTCTCTAAATGCATGCATATACACTACCTGTGCACTTTGTGTGGTGGGTGTGTACAGCCCATTTGACACAGCTTGACAGTTTGGCTGATCAGTGAAGCCCAGTTGGACATGTGACGGAGAAACAGTGTGGGAGTCAGCAGGGCATGGCTGGACCACAGTGGGCTGCAGATGCAAACAACAGGCAGGTCACTCACTAACACTTTATTGCATGCACACAATACCATTTGTTGTTTTTATTATTCCATTTGTGCGAGAGTCCAGTCCCACAGCCAAAAAAGCAGGAAAAATTGAGCAGGCCTGGCCATGTCTGGTGTGGTGGTGAAAAATATAATTACTGTGTATGAGTTGGTAGTTATTGCAGGACAGTGTCACTGTATGTAGGGTAGACAAATAGACAGCTAAACAAAACCTACGTCCCGCAGTAAGTATGCCTCGCTGGGTCCTTGGCCCTGGCCTTGGCTGGGCAGGTAGAGCGTGGGCAGGGAGGTGTTGTGAGAGTGAAGGGAGGGCAGCTTATGACGGTCAATAGAGGCGGAGGAGTGGGGCCGAAGGGCACTGGCAGCAGACAGAGGGGGCCTCATGCTGCGGCCCAGGCTATTAGACTTGCTCTCTCGCCGCTGATACTCAATAGGCGACTGTAAGGCTGAAAGACACAGAGAGACAGACAGTTCTTATAAAGCTCCACCTGATTCTGAATCTTTTACAAAGCATTGCATCATGTGGATTCAGCATTTATTTTGTCAGTAACCCCTCATTTAGCATTTGTAAGCATTACATAAATGGTGTCACATCATTATGTAGCTGTAAGCAGATATGGATATTTAGGTGTATCAATGTACAGTATTTGTCAACAATTATAACTTCTCTTATGAAGACATGTTATTACAACTGTGTTTTAATAAAGTGTCATTCATTATCTTTTCTATTCATTATCTGTTTATATAACAGCTTCCACTAATTTATACCCACAAGAGGAGTTGTGTGAGTGTAATGCTCTCTAATCAGAAGAGGACAGACCATCTCCCCTAGCCTCTGCTTTGACAGTCTGTGAAACCGCTGCGCTCTTTTTTAAATGATGCATCACTCAGAGGAGTTTATATTAGTTTTCACCAACCATCTACTACCGTTTTTTCATTTTGGCACAATGGTTCAGACTTATGCTTTAGACTGGATGTAGAAGCACCACTGGACTGCATTATTTCCTTTGATGAGGATCCCACGCACTGGCAGTCCCTCCACAGACACTCACACATACCAGACAATTAGCTTCTCTGGGTTGTAAGCTACAAAGGTACCACACAAAGGGCTGTGAATGTGCTTTGAGTGACTGTAAAAGCTCGAGCTCCAGCAAGGATACAACTGTCTGTTTATAACTACATTATAGTGTTATAAAGTTAAAAAAAAAAAGTTTATTTACTTATTCTAAATGCTAGGGGGATTCAAGTAAAGTGATGCCGTTTAGTCGGTGTTGCACAAATAATTCAATATATGATACCTGGCAGAAACCCAGCCTCATCAAAATGTAGATTTTTGAGATTATGAGATTTTACTTAATCATTATGTTATGATTTCAAGTAGTGTCTCATAATGTGGATTAACCATCAATTTTTTTTACTTTTAATTCATAACTTATTTTTTTTGGTAGGAATGGTCTTCCAGAGAAGAATTCAAACTTCATCTTTACACTGATTCAACTGCTTTCAATGAGTCAATTAATGGAAAATGTGCTAAACTGAAACATGATTTATGGATTAGGGGATGTGGCCTCATCTTCAGACGTCAGCTGGGACTTACCATTGAGAAAGTTGCGCTGGGATTCCAAGATTTGAACAACATCATTGACCCAGGCCCTACAGATCTCAGGGGAGGAGGCCTGCAACTGGAAGCGCACCACACTCCCGTCGGGGTTGCGTGACGTCAGCACAAAGCGGGCATCATCGCCCTCCACGCTGGGCTCCACCCCCAGGCAGCTCACCTGGAACATATCACATCTGACTAGCATCTGCCAGGAGTCCAGCCTGCTGAGTTGCTTGTTAAATACTTCACTAACACATTCAAGCTTCTAAAAAGTCCCTGCTGTGGGATTATGTAACCTGTGCTGATTTAGGTAAGAATTAGTGTGGATCTGTTGTGTAACCTGGGACTAAAATTTATTTTTTTATTTTTTTATATTTTATTATGCTAAAATATTATGTGTAGCTGACCTGAGTTCACTGAGGCTCAGCAGTCACCCACCTTGATGCTATTCTTAAAGATGTATCCAGGGAGCGAGAAACCTTTCTTTCTGTCAATTGGCTCACTGAAGATGACAAGCTGCTCAAAAAGGAAGACCCGTCTTTCCTTGGCTCGGGACAGGAAGCTACTGTCCTGCTCGGTAACAGTGAAGGTGTCTTGCTGGAGCAGTTTGCCCTGGGCTGTGATCTTCCCCTGATACCACAGCGAAGATAAACACAACAAACAGAGGAAGTGGTCACAGTGGTCTTTTCATGGGATGAATAGTTGGCATGAGAAATGTTTTGCAGACAGTGAAGGGTAGTCTAAATTCCTGAGACGTACCTCGAAGCCTTGTAGCCTGCCCACATTCATCATGTCATTGCAACGTTTTGGCACAAAGCACATCACCTCTACTGCTTTCTGTTTAAAAGACAAAAAGTGAGGTTGTAATCAAGAACACTAATAAAAAGCATGATTTTGCACACACAAAACCCTTTAAACCTTATGTTTAAGCATAAGGACACCAACCTCCAACTCCTCTGTGTCCATCCCAGCTTTGGTGTAATACTTCAGGAAGTCCTGCTCAAATAAACACAGCATGGTCACTAGAGCATTCCAGGTTTTCTGCTCAGAGTAAGATGAGGACATCTGGAGGAGCATTTATGGGTGCTGAACCCACCTTTCATTTGAATGCCAAAGGGCAAAGTTTTATATTCAGGCAAAGTTTTATACCAGGGATGTCATTTTATGATCATCTTCAAAGACTCTTACATATAACTGTTTGAATCCTCTGGTAAGAATGGAGTCTCATTATGTAATTTGCCTCTTCCTCTCTGGGTGGAAAGTAGCCTGAACAGACATTATGCCTGGTGTGTCGTCTGTGTTTCTACACAGAGGGGCGTAGGTGTGGTTTGTGTGAGTGCTTGTATGTTTACAACCCTGGCTGTGACTGACCCTGCTGTGTGTCAGACAGATGCACAGTGAACACCAGTATGTATGTGTGTGTGTGTGTGTGTGTGTGTGTGTGTGTGTGTGTGTGTGTGTGTGTGTGTGTGTGTGTGTGCGCGCGTAGGTGTTGGTGTGTGATCAACAGCACAGCAGTGCTTCGCTTTTCACCTTGAGCAGCAGCTGGTACTTCATGATCCTCTGGACAGGTTTGATGAGCAGGTCGTTGAGCTGCAGCCTGTGGCCCAGCTGCTGCCGCAACTCCTGTCAGCGGAGACGGACACAACAACACGACACCAGTCAGCATGACAGCCAGGACACAAAAAACGGCAGCTAATGGCCAATATAATCCCTCTAAAACAATATATCACAGGGATTGTAGTGTTTTTTTTAATTGTCTTGTGTTTATTGTCAAAGAAAAGGAACTCATTACAATCTGAATAATAAATGCCAGCTGAAAAGACACCCACAAGTCCATGTATAATACATGCTATAGGAACAGTTAGATTCATGCATACTAAATGGCTTATTAACTACAGGCCTGAGTGACAGGTGACCACTGTATCACTGGTAAACAAGTGTTTGTCCTAAATCAACATATAGACAGAAAATTACTCAAAAACAACTTTTATAATTTAACTTAAGTTATAAATTAAGTAAAATCCCAAACATTTGCGGGAATTTGGTTTGTACTGTTGGTCAGACAAAACAGGCAATCCGAAGATGTCAAGTTTGACTTGAGGAACTTTTGAAGGATATTTTCTATCTCTATTATCTGACATTTTAGAGAGTAAACAAAGACTAACTATTGATTGATTAACTGAAAAGGCATAGGATAAAAAGAAAAGTTGGATGTTAAGCCGTACTCACCTCAAAGTAAGTCTCTATATACTCTGAGACGATATGTTCCGATTTGGGCTTGTTCTGACAGTATACAACATACATATGCAGACGCCTCTCCTGCAAACCAAACAGACATCTCATTACAAAATTATTCAGCTGAACCTCTAATTTAAAAAAATTGCCACAAAGCAAAAAAAATTCACTGTGAGCTTTAATTGCATTACAAATACATTAAAATGCCCCTTGAAGTAAGCAAAAACCAGTCAATATGCAGTGTCTCTGGTTGCTGTTGGGAGCAGAGCAATAATAATTTGCCACAGACTGCGGGTCCTTTGAAGCTGACTCTGTCTGGTTAGCGCCTACTCTTCTGTGACTAATTGGCATGGGAGTGCAGATGTGGCGGTCCTGAAAGCCCTAATGGAGTTACGTGTAGATGAGCATTAGGTTATGTATAATTTACCCAGGTTACACTCAGTGTAACCAGACCCTTTTAGAGCCTGCCGGCATAAGACTGTACCTAGCAACAGGCTGCATGGTTCCGTAACCTAGAGACCAGTGAGCTGCTCCACCTGAATATGGACATCATGTAACAGTGCAGAAGACGGCTGCGTGCATCCGTTCCGAGCATTCACTATACCAGTGTGGCTGTGTGTTTACATGTGTTTATATGTTGTATGTGTGTGAGCAAGCACACATGTTGCATATCGGTGACACAGCTCTTGTTAAGAGAGGATTGGGCTTTCTGCTTTTCATTAGGGCCATGTTCCCAGCCTGCTTGTTTTCACAGTTTGACACCATGCTTAGATTTAGTTACAAGTTTCTTTATTCCTCTGCAGGCTTTTTAAGTCGATTATCCAGTGGGCTGGGCCTTATTGAATTGTTTAAAGAGCTACAGACAGAGAGAGTGAATATAGCAAAAGAGACACAGACATTTAACTTAATCATCTTCAGACAAGAAGCAAAGCTGAGTTGGTCAAATTACCCATCATGTCTGCCCAGTCTGCATGTGCCACCACTTAACCAATATACATAAATCTAATTTTGTTCCCTGTATAAGCCCTGTGACCCTAAACCGACTCAGGCTATTCTATTCTAAGAACAATATACTTAACAGTGGCTTTATCTTGCATGCATCACTTTGCTTCATTCTTCAACTAAGATATGTAGGGAGAAGATGGTTTGGGTGGAAAAAAGCCTGCATATCAAAGAGGGTTTGTTATTCCTCGCTTATTCTTGTTGTCTTTTCTGGCTGTTTTTTCCCTGGTGTTTCCTGAGCAGTCCAGCCCAGACTGGAAATTGGCCAGTGTGTCGTTCGTGTGTATGTGCGTGTGTGCCGTGTGCACTGTTGTAAAAACACAGCCTGGACTGAGACGTATCAGTAACAGGGAAGTGGAGGGAGAGACGCTGGCAGTTGAGACAGAAGGAGAGAGGTACGGTATAGGATAAACAAGAGCTCTGCATGTTTTCCTTTCTCTGTTTACCCTCACGCCAAAAAGCACAAGGAAGCAGACCCAGACCCTTCCACTGATGTGGGTGTGTATGTGGGTGTATGTGTTTCCGTGTGTGTCTACACGGTAGTCATACTCACATGTTTAATGAAGAGCTGAGCCAGCCTCTCTGGCTCTGCCAAACACTTCTCCAGCTCTCCCAGGAAGTAGCTACAGAGAGAAAACACACACACATACACACACGCGCACACACACACACACACACACACACACACACACACACACACACACACACACACACACACACACACACACACAGACACAAAGACACACAAACACAATCATCCCCAAAACGGAAGGTCAGATTTGTCTCCTGACCTATTGTTCTTTTGTCCTTCACTCAGCCACCAACACAATGCTCTGCAAATCACTGTTTGTCTTTCGCTTTGAATACAACTGGAGCAAACATACAATTTTCTACGTGTGGAAATCAAATGTATTTGAAAAATCAGAGACTTACTCTTTATGCCAGTCAAATATTTGGTGAATGTTCCCAAAAACAATCTTGTCTTTTCCCTTCATGTCCTCCGGTATACTTTTAGAGCTCATTGTGCCCATGTAGCCCTGCAAGGAAAGGACAGAGCTGCTGATGTCTGGTCACACCTACAAAAATTATAACACACTGCAACAACAACACACCTATTATTGAGCTTTTATTAACTTTCAGATGGCAAGAATACTCCTCTGAACCAAAATAACTGCAGCTATTTATGGCACCGAAAGATGGATCGCCATGCAACTTAATACTCTTCAAGATAATAATTCACAAAATCTGCTTAAGACTGCAGACGGTGGGATGGAGGCAGACCAAAGTGTGGAGAAAAGTGGAGGATTTGTGATGATAAGGATTTAGAGCTCTCTCTGACAGACTGAGTGGATGACTAAGTTCCCTCTTTTCTGTCAGTGCAGATTGTGTGTTCTTTGCTGGCAGACTTTGAGGTTTACCTCCACTATGAGCCCCAGGTCTGTCACATAGTGCTTCTCTGTCTCAATAAGCTCCTTCAGTACATACCTGTAAAGATACAAATGAAGAAGGATTAGTGTTAGAGTTATGCTACTGAATTTATTTTGCACACTGCAAAAAAATCTTGCTAACACTTTACTTTACAGGTCCCAGTTTGCTAACAATTTTCAAGAAAGGGCCTGATACTAACTTGTAATTCTGTAGAAAGTTTCCTGGAAAGGATTATGTGATTTGGTACTAGTTACAGGGGAAAATGACGACAGCGTTTAACTGGTACACTATTAGTTACAGCAATCTAATTAATTAAGCATAACATACAGATTGAGCTGATCGGCTGAAGATGAAGATTTGAGTGTGAAGCGCACCCTGCAAATATTAGTTTATAGCTTTTTCCAGGGCTTTCAACTGCATCTCTGCACCGAGTTTGCTCTTTTGGCTCAGTTGTCCTCACATGACCTGAGTCTGGAACTTACGTCACAAGATAACATCTGATGAAGACTGTGAGATCCGGTTGAAAGCTCCAGAAACAGCTGGAGTAGTAAGTGGGCCAAGATGATTGAGTCAAATGAGTCTCTGACATTTAACAGCAACTGCTTATAATGTAACACAACTTTAGCTACTATATGTTGTATATACGACTAAAACTACTATAATATCCTTTTTCTTTCTAAAAATCTCAAAAATAAAGACACCAGTACTTCCTTATAAGTAGTATCAAATTACAAAGTTATTTCCCAAGAAACATCCAAGGAAAATTCGCATACATTTTGTTAAATAAATTGTTATTTAAGTTTAACTTGTGCATGGCTCTGGGAAGAGCAATGTCAGTCTAGATGGAATAATTTCATAACATCTGTAGTTCTCAATTATGGTGATCCCCTGACTTTTTATTGGGCACCACCAAAGTTTTAGGTCCAAATTTCCGTTTGTCAAATACTTTGGTTTATGACGAGTTGTCTTCTATACATGACATTCGCCGCAGCCTCAGCCATACTTTGTGGGTCGTGCTTATTAGCAAATATTAGTATGATGTGCTAAACTAGTATAGTTAACATGGTAAACTTTACCTTCTAAACATCAGCATATTGAAATGGTCATTATGAGTATGATAAGATGGAGATTTTTAGTGAAATCTTACATATAACACATTTATTTACAGAATATGTGGCAGCATTGTGCTGCCATGAGTTAGAATCTTTACATTGCCGAAACAACATACATGCTTTTCTCTAAGGCACTCCCCCTCTCCTCTTCAGTCTCAGCCGCAGCTGACCATTGGCTGGAGGTGTCATCCATCAAGACAGAGCCGCTGTCATCTGGCAGAACACTGGTGGACTGAGTGTCCTGAGGAGGCCGAAACAAACAGACTGTTCATCAAAGGTCCAGTGCCAGTATTGTGGCTCATGCCAGGAATAAAGTAAGCAAGGGGAGATAAGGAGTGGGAGAGAGATGATAATGATGCAGGTTGCCAAGGTGACCAGAGAGAGCAGAGAGACACAAGGAACAGAGATTGAATGATAAGAAGATCAGATTCAGATAGTCATCGTTAATGATCCGTGCTGTGCACATCAGCCACAGATAGATGGGAGAGAAAGAGATTAAAAGATAAATGCAAAGAGTTACAGGGAGCAATAGGCTCCATAGAAGTAGGAGATGACAAAGCTGTGATGGAGTTTTGACTTCAGGGAAAGAGGAATACAATTATGGCTCGCCTGCTGGCAATGGCATTATATTTATGATTTAGGTTTAGATTTATGATATTTTTTCTTGTTTTGCCACCTGAGGATTCAAACCCATATGTAAATATGTCACACAATATCTTTTTTCCTGCTGCACCAATACAGCAACAAATATGTCAGTACTGGCTTATTGGCTGCACGTAGAAATGCACACAGGATAAACTCAAGGTTACTCTGATCTAATTGATTGTGTTCATGTGTTATATACATGACCTCCTTCTCATGCGTTTTCCTGGAATTGATATCATTTCCTGTGGGGGTCCTGATGCAAATATAGAGTCATTGTGCAAACTGCAACAAAGCCTGCAAAGAATGAAATCATCACTAACTCAATGGATACACGCTTCACATCTGCACACAACACTCATGTTTGTGTAACCTAGTTTTCTCTCACAATAAGCACATTATCGCCTTTGTGTGGTTGTAAAAAAGAATCACTACCATCTCTCTGTACAATTGTATCTGCTTACAAAGTTCTTCCTTCTATTTTTAGCCATGTTGTTTGGCCGTTTCTTTTAAGGCCACTCACTCTTTCCTGACTGTGTAAACTTATAGGGGCAGCTGTCTGTCTTCACCTAAATCCCTGAGTTCTATTGTCCTAGTCAAGCAGAACCTCCCCACCTTAAACACATACACAAACACGCACACACACCACAGACATATGCCTAATCCCTCAGACTCCCCTGGCAGGCGGCTGTCCAATGGAGAAATAAATAGATAGATAGGATAGATAGATACGTTAGCAAATGGAAAAAGGGACACAACTTTCTTCTTTTCTCCTCTGGCCTAGTTCAACTTGTTCACCTGCCATCTCCATGATAAACTTGTTGGCGTTGTTGTGAGCTTTTTGTGTCCAGTGATGTGTGTGAGAGAAAGAGAAAATAATGAAAGAGACAAAAAGCAAAGTAGAAAGACAGGGTGTAGAGAGAGACTGAGAGGCTCCATAAAGACCCTCGCTTCCCCAACTTGTCTTGCCCCGCTAGGAGTGCTCCAGCCTGGCTGACAGGTCTCCCTGGCTGCCTGATCACTTCCAGATGTGTTGTGGCAAAGCCCACAGGAAAAATTCCCCTTGTCTCCCTCTGTTGCAAGTTTTGTTTTTCTACTCAGAAGCTGACGAAAAAAGAAAACTGACAACACTTTTAGTAAAAGCTGAGGTCATGCTTTTGTGTAGGATATTTAAAAACATATATTCTAACAGTTCTATTAATCAAGCATGCATTTATAACGCATATATATTATATATATAATAATGGGTCAAATAATCTTAAGCATCACGTTTCAGGTAAAAACTATCAAAAGTTCAATTCTGCTTTAAAAAATCTTGACAACAAAAAAATGTCAAAAATGTTTTATATGGTTTGAGTAGTAGCAGAATTATTTTCCTGTTTGCAATGTTGTCCAAGAGCGCACTGCTCATCTATTATTCTATTATTTTATATTTATGGCTCCAGTTTTGCACTGCTTTGGGGTATAACAAACCACTTACTGTTAGAACACATAAAATGCTGGAAATCAGCAGTATTAAAGTGATTAACATTTTATATATATATATAAAGAAATGCCACTGTAAAAAAGAGAAAGAAAAGAAAAGTGAAAATGTGATGTTTTTAACACATATTGTCAGGCCCAGGAATATTTGCTGATGCTTGAAACTGATGTGTTGTTACATTTCCAGCAGTGGCATCAGCAATTTCTTACTTTTTAATGGAAGGGAGCACCCTGTTCAAAGGGCCTATCACTCTTTAGAAGCCCAAATCAAAGGTATTGCACAGTGTGAGCACAGTTACAAGGTCTCAAGTGCTGACCACAATTTAACAACATTATTACCAGTGTTGCAATGCAATGGATGGCTTTGAAGAGATCTCAGCACCATTTTTTTCTTTTACCATTTCTTTTCCTGTTTCACTGAGAAACTTATATACATTATTTGGTTCTTTGTCTCTGTCAAGGTATTTAATTGCTTTACCTTGGGAAACCTTGGGAAATTGCGATTTTTGACACCACATCTTGTTTAACTGTTGACATCACAAGATGTTTCCACTGACCAAGTAGCAATAAACATTTAATTACAAATGTTCTGCTGCAGTTGTGAGATTAGAGACAATGGTGTGAAGAAAAGGGGAAAAACAACAATGCATTTAACACTATGGCTATTGTAGGTGGAGAGAGAAACCACAGCTCGGAGATGACTGACCTACATAATTGAATCTCTCTACCTCTACCTCTCTCTTCCTCTCTCCGCCTCCCTCTCTCCACAGATTGGCAGTAAAAACACCAAAGCACTGACCTCATCCCTCTGATGTAATCGTATTAATGGCTTTTGATGTGTTGTTGAGACTGAAATTAGGATTTAAGTGCTCTGGTGTCGATTCACCAACAGGAGACACTCCACAATGCTCAAATGCTCAGATATCATTATTGTTTCATTGTATATTGATAGGGCTCAGGCTCTGATGATTCATGCAATGTTACTGCTGCTCAAGAGAATCTCATTTTCTGCCATGCTCTCATATCACAGCAAAAAGGGACCCTCTGAACGCTTGACTTGAGACGTTCCTTTGCCACGAGCAACTGACTCCAAGTGTTTGATGGAGAAATGAAAGCGTATGTGGGCACATAGCGTTCTTTGTCACTTCACAGAAGTGGAGTCATCTTTCATCACATCTGCCATTTTGTGCTATTTCCTATTTTTCTCCAGGCATGTCCTTTTGTAACATGTTGGATGTGAGTCATGCATCACACAGGTTTCTGTCAAACCCTGCCCTCTGGTCTTCTGGTGCATCGATCTGCTCTGAGAGAGCCTTGTATTCACTCAGGCTCCCTTACATGTGTGCATGCATGTGTGTGCTCTATGGGTCTTTATATCTTTATATCTGTATCTCTGTGTGTGTGTGTGTGTGTGTGTGTGTGTGTGTGTGTGTGTGTGTGTGTGGTGTGTGTTTGTTTGTGTGTGTGTTGCACAATGCAGCGCTCCTGTGTGAATCTGTGTGTTTGTTTTGCCTCATAGTTGAGCTCCGCCAGCAGCAGTAGAGTTAGTCATTTCCAGATCTGGCTGGAGGGCCATGGAGACAAGCAATACTGATGTCACCTCCCCGCCAGGCTGGGTCCTCACTGAGAATATTACTGCTACTCCTCTCAGAGACTGTCTACAGTAAACTGTCTGTTAAAATGAACCACAAGAGGATTTACTCTTGATAGTTTGAATCTCATCATAGCCAATGATTGATTCTATTAAACAGAAGGGGACACTCAAGTTTTCTGGCATCCTGTCAAAAATGACTACCTGCATTTAAGTCAGAAACATAGGTTTCTTCTGGACGTTATTTCAATATGACAAAAATAATATGTGAACAAAGCAGGTTTGATAGTGTTAGGTTGACAGACCTGGGTGTTTGGCAGTGATGTGCAGCCGACCAGTGAGTCAGTTATGTAGCTCGGGGACTGTAGTGTAGCTGGTGACAGGTCCTCAGGGCTTGCCAGGCCATCCTTCCACTCCTGGAACACACACGACCACAGTGTCAGAATAACACAATATAAACATGATGCAAAATGTCTGTAGCATGCTTGTGCATTCGTGCACACAGAGGCAGCTGCACAACAGCAAAAGAGAGCACATGAGTCATGTGAAAGAACATGGCAGCATGAGTTCCTGCGGGATGAGCCAGCAGTGCTGCTGTTATATAACATCACCACCTGCCATGATCCTTAATTCTCCGTGGATCAACTCTACATCAAACCTGTGTCTCCACTGATATTCTTGAACTATCTAATATAAACAAGACAGTCAGGATGTTGGCATAAGTTTGTATTTATATGAGGCTGAAGTTTGCATGTTTACTTCAGAACCAGTTTATACAATAACAAGGCCTTGTTGTAAGGCGGTGTGGGAATAATTCCAGTTAATAGGTTTACTTATGAGGTGGTTCATCTCATATGTGTAAAAAGGTAGTTGAAGCACACAGCCTTGTTTGATTAGTGCTTGTGAGATAGAAAAAACAATAATGCTTTCTTCTAACAAATTTTCACTCCTTACCAGTTCTCTGTGGGTGACTGGCAGAATGGTAAGAGTGTCATCTGTCCTCGGAGGGCTGCCCAGATCCTGGCTATGGCTCTGGGATGGAAGAGGTGGAGGCTTTCCCTCAAGTTTGCGGACCTGACGCTCCCCTTTGGCGGTGGCCCCGGCACTGAGTTTTCGGACAGGGTTTGTGAGCCACTTCTTCAGGGTGCTCACAGAGCGTCTGGAGCCCGGGGAGCTGGGGGCTGAGCTGCCTGATGCCTGCGGGGGCAGTGACGCCACAGAGGTGGAGATGCTCCCCTCGCTGCCTGCTGCCGAGTATGAGTCTGCAGAGAAGAGACAGGGAAAGAAAGAGAGAGCAAAAGGTTATCAGTAAAACATGAAGTGTCTGAGGGTACAATAATGTGCAGGTAGAAAACTGATAAATAAGGGTTTAATGGGTCAAAGGGCAAAGTACACCCTGACTCTCCACATTTAGACCTCAGCAGTCAATGAATCAATTAATCTATGGACAAAAACAACAGAGCAAAAGAGCATTTTATTTAAGGCAATTGAACTCCTGATTGACATTTAAATTAGGGCAGCAGTGCTGGTCAGTGAGAGGTGATGGAGGACTGAAGGACTGGAGGCCAGAAGACATGTCAACAACAGGGGAGAAGAAGTAAAGAGAAAAATAAAACAAAGAAGGGATGTATAAATAGCCTTCCTCTTCAAACACAGCTGTGCAGCTGTGAGCTGTGACCATAAAAGACGCACTGTTCTGTTTATGTCAAGCAGACCGTGGCTTTTATATATGAACTGTGCATCCAGTCACATGAGCAGTGGATGGTCGACATTTAATGTGAAAAATACTCGCAGACCGGTGACAGTGATGTCAGGAGGACATGGGAAGTGGGTTGGGGGGGGTGAGCTGGGACCGGACATCCACTCTAATCCTTTGTAGAGGGGAAGATCCTTGCTTGGGACTGTTTGTTTTTTTCTGTCTTGTCCTCCATTCCCATCCTGCCTCATCCACCCAACCCTACCACCCTTCCTCCTGCCTTCCTCAGTCCTGAGATAGCTCTTCCTCTGGGCCATGTGTCTGGAGTGTTTTATCTGTTGTGCCTCCCATCCATCTTCTTGCCCTAAACTCGACCTCTGACCCTTGATCACCACTCTGCTACAGATGGAGAAACACTCTCTCCTGCTAAGACTCACTGCCATGCCTTATTATTGTTCAAATGCAGCAGCAGACACAGTCAATCGTGAGTTGACTGTGTTTTTAGTTTTCCAAGAAAATACACTCTTCAAGAAGTTCGTATCGAGTTTGTGAATTTGTTACGCATTTGTTTACAAGACGACAACACTGACCTAATTTCAGTGTTCCTTATGAGAGCCATAGAGGAAGATCTTATCACAGCACTCAGCTGTAAGATCCAGACTGCAGGAGCCACACTGACACAGCTTGGCCCATTTTGTGAGCATATTGTCTTCAAAGGCAAAGCCAGAATAAATTCACAGTCCCCCCTCAGTGTTCATGCTTAAAGCGATTGAGCTTTTCCACACTTTATTCATTCAATTACTTTCCCTCAGAAATACAATACAGCCACTGTACCGATCAATGAAAATGAGCCGTGTAAAAAATGGCCCTTACTCTCTAGTGCACAAACCTCAGTCCCAGAGTTTGAGAAATGGCTAACCTCAAAGCAAAACAACTCATGACATCACATCGCTGCCAGTGCATACACATCGTTTGTGGATCCTAGCTGCTCACAAAAAAACCTTTAACTTGTCTGTTTGTGTATGTACACCACCAACATTTCCTCTGTAATCTTTCTCTGGCAAGTCTTGCATACATTTTACAGGCATCGTGTGTGTGTGTGTGTGTGTGTGTGTGTGTGTGTGTGTGTGTGTGTGTGTGTGTGTGTGTGTGTGTGTGTGTGTGTGTGTGTGATCCCAGGGTGGCCAATTTCCCCATCCTCTCCCCTGTCACTCCCACCCCCATCCACATGAAAGACTGGAGAGTGTAAGGAGATCTGAGCCTGGCAAGACGAGGGGGGTGAACACAGGGAAGAGACGAGGAGCAGAGGGGTACAAAGAAGGGGGGCGGCTAAATCCTGAAGGGAATTGATGGAAACTTTGAACAAACACTGGATGGGTCCATAGACAGTAAGACGACATAAAAAAGAAACAGCAGTCTAAGTTCAAGCCTTTGCTCTTTATGTATCTGTCGAAGACAATAGGATATCAAGAAGCATCTGAAAGGCACTGTATTTATGGCTGGTACTGTTAAAAAGCCTGAGGCAAAGCATACATCTCTCTGAGGGTCCCCAGCTAGAGAGAAGAGAGGATGTGAAAATGATGCTGAGCACATGTGATAACCCCAGTTCTCTGACCTCTAACAAGGGCCAGGCCTAGAGGTTTGTGTTTCCCAGTGTTCCCTGCTCAGGTTCAATCAGGCCTGGGTTTAGGGGTCACAGTGCAGAGACACAGCCAGTAACAGTTTCTAACCAGCTCCAGACATCAGTGGAGAAAGCTTAAAAGAAAGGCTGACACATTCTGTGTGCCTGTAAGCAATTAAAAGTGAGGGGAGACAGCAGTGCAGCTTCATGATTGAAACCCTGCGTCAGAATGACACAGTGACTCTGTCAAATGTACAGATTTACAACGTCCAGCGTGTACATAATTTACTGGTTTTACAGTGACGATCGTTACACCTGCATCTGTCACCATGGCAACTCTGCAGTCCCCCTACTGGTCGGTTACCCTGTTGACCCTGGAACACTTAATCACTTAAAAAATGAATTGTTATGAAACCTATACAAGCCATCACAGGGACATCTATAAAAAAAATTTTTAATTAACAGCAAGGAAACTGTAAAACACAAAGGGAGATGATGAGCTTCCCCTCAGAGCAACATGCCTCCGCTCTCCCTACACATTGCAAGATGAGAGGAGTTGATACCATTATACACCTACACAGAGGAAATTGGGAGAAAAAATAACAATCCTTCCCACTCTCTCTCTCTCTCTCTCTGTCTTGCTGCATGCTAATAGTGCCCAGTGACATTCATCTCCATAATGGCACTGCTAAAAGATTACCCAGGTGTATTTTGTTAATGCAACTTGACTATTGTTTATGTGCTTGAAATAATTAACAGTTGAAGGCGCAGGGCAACAGGACTGCATTAAGCTGGCCCGATCTGTGGTGATCAGTTAATGCTGGGCTTTCACCAGTCGCCCACTCACTGTCTGAAAGGATGAGTGGCAGCCGGGTGGGAGGCTTGCCCAAAAAAAGTTGCTGTACTATGTAACTCTAGAGCCAAGTGGGTTTCTGCTGCAAAGTAGTTCCAGACTTTCTCTTGATGCTGTTCACTCGTAATAGTGAAGTTTGATAGTACTCTTGAGTTTAATTAAGGCAGTCTACGACTAATTTATCCAAGAGACCTATCATATTTTCTCTTATTTTTCCTGCACTAAATCAGGATTTTGACTAATTTTAACTATTGATTAATCTGTTTATTTAAGTGATTCAGTGTTCAGTACAAAATTTCAGAAAACTGAGAAAAATGTCTATCCAAATATCCTAGAGGCCAAGATAATGTGTAGTCAGGTCAGATAGTAGTCTAGGAAAAGAAAACCAGGAACCAAGAAGCAACCAAGCATTTTGTATGAAAATTGGTTTGCTCATCTGTCTTTTTCATGTGGTTTACAGTCAATCATGTTTGCTCAACAAAGTTTAAAACATTTATCACAGCTCAATTGAATTATCCATTGACTTTCTTTGACACAGCTTGCCCAGTCATGTGGAAGGGGGAAAACTATTATGCAATATTATTGGATATGAGGTTGGATATGATTGTTCAGTAAAACAGATCCACAGATTGTTGATTGAGTTAATAAAACAATTTAGGCTTAAAACAGAAAACTAGAGCGAAAATAAGCATTAAATCACAAAGCAGCCTCAAGCAGGTGGGTGGATGATGTGGGTGGATGCGCTTTAAGTGTTGATCCCTCTGAAGAAGTTTGGTCCAACTTCCCTTTATTGATCAGCTGATAAGTGAGTGCTGCTGAGCCAACAAATCAGGCTAAAAGCGTTGGCTGTAATGGAGCAAACTTGTTCACAGCCACTCCACTCTGGAGCTCTCTGTCAATCCCACGGCCTCTTGGGCCCATATAGGCAATTTAGGCATTACCACTCCACCAAATCACGCATGCAGACAGGCATACAGGTGCCCACAAACTTGCACATTTACACAAATGGCACATGCACATTTTTTCCAGGACAGCCGACCAGATGGGTGGCTGCAGGCTGTTCTTTTGTGATCCAAGCTTTCAGTGTCATCTGTCAGAGCAAACAACACACAGGACATCAGAGGCAGGCGACCTGCTGGTTATCATAGTGTCAAACATGTCAAATGTCCAGCTGAGTCTAAGAGACTCTTAGAGCTGCCAGTCATTGCCAGCACCTCACAAATTATAACCCCGGGGGTCTAAGAGTGTGGTCAACACACAGGCACTAGACGCCCGTCTGCGTCATTGTGAACACCTCACAACACAACACCATGTTTATCCATCTCTATTCTCTCTCTCTTTTTCATTGCCACCCACCCTCCACCCCACCTTATGCTCTTCATCCCCTGCTCTACTTGTATATTACATTTCACCTACTCAGAGGAAATGGACACTCTTCCCATCAACTAGCAGGACCTGGGCTGCACTCAGGCATTCAGATGTGCAGACTGAAAGACCTGTGAGACAATGAGGCACTTAGTACCTGAAGCATATGACCGGAAACCCTCTAACTGTCCTCTGATGAACTTTCGCAGAAACATATTACAAGGCTTTTTACTGAATAACATTTAAGATCTCATTATATACTTGTCACCTGTGATTCACAACGAAAAATCGATTTTTGGACCTTTTGAAACTCCTGACTTTTTGTCTCCTTTTTATGTCTCTTCCACTTTTCTCATTATATTTCATCCTGTTGGCCCCAGGCTGGTTTATGTGTATTTTGTTTGTGCTGCCTCTGATTAATAAATCCTGACACTTGGCTGTTCTCTCGTTCTCGTGTCCTCCCTCTTCCCCTCCACTTCATCTTGACTTCTTCCCCTACATCATGCCCCCCCCTTTTTTTACTTGGCCACCCTCTTTTGCACTCTAACCCTCTCTTCCTCTCTGCACTGCAGTGTTTTTAAGACTTTGGCTCGGCCCTGCTCTGGGATCAGGACACACAACTCCCTCCTCTGATGCAATGCCCTGCTCTGCCCCAAAGCTGCTGAGACCAGCGCAAGTTCGACATGGAAAACCAACTGGCAGAGAAGACAGTGACACAGAATCGAAG